TGGGGGTCCCGGGGGTTAAACGTCCGTCCCTGCTTTCTCCCAGCACCTGCAAAACCTCGGAGCGCAAGAGCCGCGGCGGCAAAGCGGAGGCGAGGAGCCGAGGGGCAGCCAAGGAGAAGACGCTGGAGTGTGGCCAGATCGTGTGGGGCTTGGCCTTCAGCGCCTGGCCGGCGGCAGGGGCCGGGGAGACGGAGCCCGCCTGCGCCGTGGGGCTTCCCTGCCTGGTCCTGGCCACCGGGCTCAACGACGGGCAGATCAAGGTCTGGGAGGTGCAGACAGGTGAGCAGCAGGCAGGGCTTCAGGCTGGTGTCTCTTCTCTTGCTCCCTCTTGGAGGGGGATCCCATCTCCATCCTTCCCCAAATTCTTGCCCTGGGGTGAGCAGGGAGTCCCTGCCCTGTCCCAGGCGGGGCTGCCTGCTTGTGAGGGGCACTGCCTTGTTCCCCGTGGAGGGATGGTGCTGAGTGTGGCTCTTCTGCACAGGACACCTCCTCTTCAGCCTCTTGGGACACCAGGATGTTGTCAGAGACCTGAGCTTCGCTCCTAATGGAAGCCTCATCCTTGTGTCAGCCTCACGGGACAAGACTTTGCGCATTTGGGACCTGAGCAGAGATGGTAGGAGCGCAGGGGGAGGTCCTTGGTGCTAGGTCACCCCTGCCTGAGGCTGGGCTCTGCTATGAGGAAGTGGGGAGAAACCCACCTTGGCAGGGGAGATGGTGGGAGAGAATCTTTGGGGACAGTATTCAAGGCAGAAGGGGAGAGTCCTGCAACATGGAGCAGAACTGTCCCCTTCCAGGTAGGGCCTGGGACATGTGGGAAGGGGTTGCAAGTAGACAGAGCTTGGGATCTGCCCAGGGGAACCCCCCAGCCCCATTTGCATTCCCCCTTGGGAAAGGGAGGGGAGAGCAGGGCAGGGCCCAGCGCTGCCTCTCCTGCTGCCCTCTCGTAACTCTCGTGTCTGCCGTCCCCAGGGCAGCAGGTCCAGGTGTTGTCGGGCCACGTGCAGTGGGTCTATTGCTGCTCCATCTCCCCAGACTGCAGCATGCTCTGCTCTGCGGCCGGAGAGAAGTCGGTGAGTCCTGCGGGATGGGAGATATCCCACGTCCCATTGAATCCAGTGCTCCCCTCCACCCTCTGTGTCCCCCCAACCCCGTGCAAGAAGTTCTATGAGAAGGGGCTAGGTCGGAGCCACCCTGGCTCCTCGGCTGTTCTGGTTCTGTGTGGAGGAGCTGGGACCAGTGCCTTAAACCCCGATGCTTCTCCACCCCCCCACCCTCCCCCGAGATGCTCCCAGCCTCAGACCTTGCCTGTGTCCTGCAGGCACTGCTGTGGAGCATGCGGTCCTACACCCTCATCCGGAGGCTGGAGGGGCACCAGAGCAGTGTGGTGTCGTGTGATTTCTCGCCGGACTCGGCGCTTCTTGTCACCGCCTCCTACGACGCCTGTGTCATCATGTGGGACCCCTACACTGGCGAGCAGCTGAGGACGCTGCGGTATGGAGCTGATGGACCAGTGGGGGACTGTGGAAAGGGGGCAGGACAATGCTGTTGGGGTTTGTTAGGGCTGAATGTGGCCTTCCCTCCTAGCTGGGCATGGCCAACCACCTTCCCTCTGTCTCCAGTGGCTAACAGGGGGCTCTGACTTGCTGGGTTTGGCCCCTCTGCCAGGCCTGGAGCGCTGGGGATGGGGCTCACAGCACGCTGGGACTGATACTGGGCTTGTTCTCCCTACCTGCAGCCACGTCCCCTTGCACTCAGTGGTGGACTACAGCAGCGAAGTCCACACCAGCTCCTTGCGCTCCGTCTGCTTCTCTCCTGAGGGCCTCTACCTGGCCACGGTGGCGGATGACAGGTGAGTGAACCCCCTTGGGGACCTCCAGCGGGAAGAGGGGTCCCAGGACACCACCAAAACGAATCAGGAGCTCAGCACATGCCAGCGGGGAGCAGACCTCATGTGCCAGGTCCTCCCCAATGCCTGGTGTGAGGGGAAGGGGCAAGGCTGCCTGGGACACCGTGGCTTGGCTGTGGCAAGGGGTAGCAAGGTCAGGGCCCTGTCGCCCCTCTGAGTGACGAGCTGGGGCCCGTGTCCTCCTCTGTGCTGTGCCACCCTCCCTCACTGTGCCCCTCAGCACAGTCACTAGCTCTGTCTGCATCCAGCTCAGCTCTACAGGGGACAGTGCCTCCTGCCTTGCTGCCGTGTTGTGACACTCCTGGGATGCTCTAAGCCCATGGGAAGAAAATCCTACTCCAGAGTTTGCATGCATTCAGGTGAACCCAGAGGCTTTCTTTTAGCTGCAGGCACTGCGTGGATGTGGGCCTGGCATTGTGTCCCCTCCCTTTCTCCTTAGGCTCCTGAGGATCTGGGCGTTGGAGCTGCGGTCACCGGTTGCATTTGCTCCCATGACCAACGGCCTGTGCTGCATGTACTTTCCACACGGCGGTTTCATTGCCACAGGGTGTGTATTTGGGAGAAGGTGGAGAAACGGAGCCTGCTCCCTCCTCCTGCAGCTCTGTCTGCTCAGCAAATTCTGGGCTTCCCTGGAGGGTGCAGTCGGGTTTCCTGGGCTGGGGAATGCGCGGTTGCTGCAAGCTTGGGATTTTGGGGGGGTAATGGAGCTTTCTTCAGTCTCTGCCTCGTGCTCATGCCTCGTTTGGGTCCTGTTGCAGGACCAGAGATGGCCATGTCCAATTCTGGACCGCTCCAAGGGTCCTCTCATCGCTAAAGCACTTGTGTCGCAAAGCTCTGCGCACCTTCCTCACGACGTACCAGGTCCTCGCCCTCCCCATTCCCAGGAAGCTGAAGGAATTCCTCACTTACCGGACATTTTAAGGCAGGGCAGAAAGTGGGGACACAGAGGCGAGAGCCCTCTGCCTGGCAGCAAGGCTTGGCCTGGGTTGGAGGAGGCACCATGATGACGATGTCTCGCTGATTCGTGAGCTGTGGGGTGGGAGATTGCTGCTCCCCTTGTTCTGGGGCTGCGTCTGAATGTGGAGGGATTTTTCGGTATAATAATACTAGAACCCAGCAAAAATGCATGCAGAGGGCAAGGGGCGCAGCTACGGTGGCCCCGCAGGGGAAATGGGTCCCCTTGCTATCTGCAAGTTTTGGGGCAGGTGCTTTTGCTTCCAAGTGGAGTGTTGTGGGTTGAAGGTTAGCAGCCGCAGTCTCAGCAGAGCTTTTGTTGTTCGTATGAATACAGGGCTACAACTGTCCCTGACAAAACCAACCCTCACTGGGACCGGCTTGCACTGCAGCTTAGTTCCCGGAGGAGCGTTGGCTCTGCTGCTCTCCTGGTCTGGCGTGAGCTGGACCTGAGCAGGTCTCTGCGGACTAGACGACAGCGATGACAGAATAAAAGAAGTTATTCCTCACCTCTTTCCTCTTGACTGGTAGAGGTGACGTGGGGATACCTGGCCGGGCAGGCTCCAGCCCTCCTGCCACAGCCGTTGGGGTGGCATTGGGTGCTCACTCAGCTCTGAGGTGCCAACCAGCGAGTGTTCAACGGTGGGTGCTGGGGAGGGTCAGCCCCACTGTGAAGGTGGGACATGAGGCTTCAGGCAGCCCCCAGCTCCCATTCCTCCGCTGCTTTTTCTCCCTGCTGGAGCTAAGCACTTGAGCAGCCTGATGTGCAGACACGCTGCACATGAAGTGGTCTCCTGTGCTTGTCTCCCTCCAGCTTAGCTGGTGGCTGAAGTGCCATCACGTGCTTTGAGTCCCCTGTGTGGCAGAGGGCTGGTTCTGTGAGCCCAGCTGATGGCGGACAAGGGGAATGTCTCCTCTAAAATGCTCACTGGGATGTTTTCCCTTGTGAGCGCATGCTGTGCATGGCTGACCTACTCAGTGGAGGGGCACAGGCCACAGCTGTACTGCTCAGCGCCTGAGCAGCTCTGCACTGCGAGGGCAGAAGTTCTGCAGGCAGGGCAGAGCAGCCAGACTTCAGCCTGTGTAGTTGCAACGCTTTTGCAGTGGGGCTTGGGATGAGTTTCAACCACCTCCCTTCAGTCCAAGGAAAACAAAAGACAAGTGCAACCTGCTCGGCTTTAGAGGCATCTGTATTTCCTGGTGGAGCTTAGAAACAACGCTGCCCAACTCTTGCGCCTTGGCTGGGGGCTCAAGGCTTCCACAAAGGAAGCAGAAAGCTGCCGGGAGCAGCACTGGGACCGGGGCTGACAGTCCCTCCCAGC